CGGTTTCGATGAGGATTTTGGGGAGGGTGAGGGGGGTGTGGAGGAGGGGGGTGAAGTGGGGTGGCATTTTAGTTTGGGTTTTGTTGGGTGTGTGGTTGTGTTGGTTTGACTTATTCAGTCAAGTGGGTGATGCAAAAGACCTAAATAACTAAGGTAATAACTAAGTCTCTAGGTTGCATTGTCTGAGCAAGTGTAGCTAGCTAAGTGCCTACGTACTTATAGATGCCATAGTACGCTAGTGGAGCACGCTAGTCCTGAAGGAGCAGCTACGCTCAGAGCTAGCTAATAATCATTCACTATTATAAAGCGACGGTTTGGGTTGGTTTTTTGGGAGATGGAGGATGTTCTTGTTTTGGTGTGCACTGTGGGTTGGTATCGTGTGTGTGGTTTGTTAGAGTGAAGGCCTTAGGCTTGTGAGAGAGCAGAGTTTGAAGGAGATAGAGAGGCAGGCAGGTAGGTGGCGAGGTTAAGATAAAGATGAAGTTGAGATTTGAATGGATCTTGATGAGTTGTAGATGTGAGGTGGAAATCGCGTTTTCACTAATGGCATGTAAGTGTATAAGTACAGAGAACTTAACCCAACCCAACCCTAGTGCTCTTAGAGACAAGAACGAGATACGGTCCTTTATTCATTGAAAAGATTTAGTGGATTACTTCAAACTTATGTCTTGCTCCAATTGTACATTTACCTTCACTGGTGAACTGTTTCTTTTGCTAGGATCGTTCCATCTAAACAGTGAGCACTACCTAGTATTCACTAATAGAACACCCCTTAATATCAAGAATCATTTCTAGAGTGAATTAGTAGTTATAGCATAGGATGTATTTTGCGTATCATGGGTGACTGACTAAGCAAGCTTGCATATATCTATATCGTTTGATTCATTTAATTACTTGTCTATAACAACAACAATCTATAATCAGTGGTTCTTGTACAGTACTAGGGATTAAGTCTGAGCCATTTACACTTTTTACACTAAAACTCGGCATAATCACGTGTATAAAAACCTTAGAAGGTTAATAGGAAATACAAATTCCTTTATAAAATCCTATTATCTTAACAGATCCGTCCTTTCTGTCTCTTCCAATTTTGTTAGGTATAATAAGGTATCTAATAAAAAGCGTATAAGGTTGTCTATTTTTAGAAAAGTGGTATTTTGCACCAAATTCGGCCTAAATTCGGCACAAAAATAAGTATATCTAGAAGATTACGATATATATTGATAAAGACTTTATATATAGCTTAATACACCTATATAAAAGTACTAAGAAGGTACTTAAGTATAAGTGTCTAAGAGGAATAATAGTTCTGCTTCAAGTATATATAGTTATAAGCAATTGAAAACTAGGCAAATCGTCGATTTTTGGTGGGGTTCGGCTAAATGGCTCAGACTTAATCGCACCGACTGTACGCTTAGAAAGAGGAGTTTCTTCTCAAACCTCCATTTTTCCCGAACAAGACACCAGAACTAGGTAGTTAAATAGGCCTTGATTGAGCGCTTGGCAGCCTGGGCTGGGCTTCACTTGGTGAGGGTGCGAATAGCCTTACAAGTGCCCCAGGGGCTGTTTGACCTAAATAATATATCTAAGCAAATATATATAACGTGGTTTATCAGCGAGTCGATCATATCACCGAGTCGATCACTTTTCCTTGGCACTACCTCCTTAAACTTCAACACACGTTTTCTTCAACTATTTACCATGGAAATTCAAACTCAAGAAGCGCGAATTACTCTAGCTATCGAGGCTATTCGGTCGTCCAAAAAACTAAGCAAACGCTCTGCGGCAAAGATCTACAATGTACCATATACGACTCTTTCCGACAGAATGGCTGGCCGAACCTACCGCCCAGATTCTCAAGCCAATTGTCATAAGTTGACTGAGTTAGAAGAGGAAGTGATTATTCGGTATATACTGGATATGGATTCCAGAGGATTTGCGCCCCGGCTCGCTGGTGTAGAAGATATGGCTAATTTTATCCTTGAATCGCGGGGGGGAAGACGCGTCGGCAAGCTCTGGGCCCATCGATTCGTACAACGACAACCAGACCTTAAGACGCGTTTTAATCGCGTTTACGACTTCCAGAGGGCCTTATGCGAAGATCCTGACGTGCTAGGCGCATGGTTCCGGCTAGTAGAGAATATGAGGGCGAAATATGGGGTTACAGACTCCGACTTCTACAACTTCGACGAGACAGGCTTTATGATGGGTGTTATTTGTCCTAGAATGGTTGTTACTCGTGCAGACCGACGTGGTAGAGGCAAGGCAGTTCAGCCAGGCAATCGGGAATGGGCTACAGCAATTGCCTGTATTAATGGGGAGGGCTGGAGTATTCCTCCATTCTTGGTAGTTCAGGGCAAGAACCATCTCTCCAACTGGTATACCGACGGCGGCCTCCCACCTAACTGGGTTATGAAACCGACAAGCAATGGTTGGACAAATAATGAAACAGGCCTGGAATGGTTAAAGCACTTTGATAAACACACTACAGCTCGTGCAAAGGGTCTGTATCGAATACTAGTTTTGGATGGGCACGAGAGTCATGAATCGGCTGAGTTCCAAGACTACTGTACGAAACACAACATTATTACTCTTGGACTACCTCCTCATTCATCCCATCTAACCCAGCCACTTGATGTTGGGTGCTATAGTGTGTTAAAACGAGCGTATGGTCGGCAGATTGAGACGTTTATCAAGGCCCATATCAACCATATTACAAAGGTTGAGTTCTTTCTAGCCTTTACAGCAGCATACAAGGAAACAATGACAGTCCTAAACTGTCAGTCTGGATTCCGCGGAGCTGGCCTAGTACCATTTAACCCGCAAGCAGTGCTTTCAAAGCTTGACGTAAGGTTACGGACTCCAACTCCCCCTCGGACGTGTAGTGAGTGCCAACTCCCTCCCCTGGGTGTCCCAGACCCCTTCCAACCCAACTGAAGCCCTTTCACAATCAACTCTTGTACGAAATCGTATAGCCTGTCATCAAGGAAGCTCGCCAACTCCACTTTTTCAAACAGTTGCTGCGTTAGCAAAGGGTACAGAGCGAATGGCACATGAGATGACCCTTTTGTCTGCTGAGGTCCGTACCCTTCGCGCTGCAAATGAAGCCCTAAGTAAACGCCGTAGGGCTAAAAAGACTCGTGTCCGCCAAGGAGGGGCACTTATAGTAGAGGATGTACAGGATATGTTAGCTCAGGAGGATGTAGATGAGCAAGTACGACGCGACATGCGTGAGGCGGGGGTTGGTTATAAGGAGGGGCAACCTTCTAGGCGGCGCTGTAGAACTTGTGGAAAAGCTGGTCATAACGCGCGAACTTGTCAAGAATTTATAGATATATCTAGTTCGTCAGATATAGAGAGCGATAATTAATTTAATATATTGTGGTTGATTTATTTAGGTGTAAAGTTCTGTGCCAAGAAAAAGTGATCGACTCGGTGATATGATCGACTCGCTGATAAACCACGTTACCCCATTTGGAATTGCAAATTATAGCGTCTCGTCCTTTTGAGTCCTTGCAGAGCATTATCGTTGAAAGAATAGTTAATCTACAATAGTTTTAGATTCTATTATTAAAAAGTGAAAGGAACTCTAAGAAAGCAACGAGAACTTTTTTACAGATGGAGAAAGAAAGGCAGCGAGGGGTTCTCTTACACAGTGTTCTCAAATGCCATTAAGTACTTTGGTCGGTTCAAAAGTATAAGATCAATGCTGTGATATCCGGTTGGAGTACTATCGATCAATCTACATGTACAATAACGCGGAAGTCTCACTGCTCTCCCCTCCATACAGAACCAATTACGCCCAAACCACGAACCATTTCTACAAACAACTCTCTTCTTCTCAATCCTTGTAATCCTCCACTAGCCCATGACCTTCTGCAACAGCATTAGTTAAAGCCCCCTTCAAGAGTGCGCAGATAGCCAATTGCATCTTCGGCACATTAGCACTCGCATCCAAACTGAGGTCTTCTTGAGGACCACCCACAACCTCATGGTTATGAACACGAAGTTGCCAATACCAATGAAATTCAATGGGGTAGTCTTCGGATGGTCCAACGGCACCATCCCAACCGAGGTGGTTCCCATTCTTCCCACGACCTGTTGCAGGTTCCAAGACTTCTAAAGCGTCTCTGACATCCTTACCAGCAGTATCCAAAGCCGCAAGGACATCATAGAGGATAATTTTCACATACTGGAGCACCTCTTTTTCGACTGGTATGGGGGTAACATCCCCCTCTGGATGAAGCTCGTACCAATTCGTCTTGGTTTTCAAAAAGTCCTCTTGCGTCTTCCCTTGAAAGCGGGTCTCGGGGAGTCGTGCGTCCTCGTAGTACTTGAGATCTTGTACCTCTTGTCTTTCGTAGAGATGGTGATCAAGGATATGTCCTGTATCTCTCAGGTCTGCAAACAGCTTCTGTGGGAAGCCGCAAGCTGAGGCGGCCCACTTGTTGTACACAATCGCGGGAACATCATTAACTGCTAGAAACTTGTGAACGAACTGGGCTGAAGCGGAGTCGGTTTTGTTATTGGCGCTCTGGTCGTTTTCTACATTGTACTCCTGCGTATCAGGATCAAACGTTGAGGTGAAGCCTCCTTGTAGAACCACTCTTCGGATGTATTTTGCTAATGTTCCCTGCTTTCTACCCTTCATCTTATCCAGCGTTTGGAGGTTCAGTCTTGTCGATGGGTTCTCCATGAGTTCTGTGAGCAACTCGGATTCGTTCTCGCCGTCGCTGTCGGAATCGCTTTGCCTCATGCGATATCTAGCTTGGGTTCTTTGCACGAGCGTTGCCATATCCGAGAGGGAGGAGATCAAGAGAAAGGTAATATCATTGAAGGTGCTGTCACTGACAATCTTCTCCATGAATTTGATCCCGGACTCGATCACATCTGGATCCTTGGAGGTTTTCTGTTCGTCGAGCGGCAAAAACGTGCAATGATCCGAGCCGAACTCGCTCTCAAACTCGTATGGCGCCACATCATTGGCATCCGTGGCCTTTTCGCCCCAGGCGACGGGCATATCAAGGAGGCCTAAAGTATCCAAAGCTCCTCTCGCATATTTTGATCGAGTTTGCGTTGGCTGGAGGTTTACAACGAAGCCCAGAAGTCTGATTTCAAGAAATGAGTTAGAAGTGTGTTGGAGTAAGAGGTTGAATAGGTGAAGCTTGACTTACTTGATCAACCCTAGACGATGTAGCTCCTTCAGTAGAATCATAGCTACGAGATCATCATAGTCTTTTGCAATGTCGGTGATGACCACGACTCTTGGAACATGCTTAGGACTGCGCAGGTTTTTGCGGTCTTCCCGTACTTGATAGAGTGTTTGGTAAACCCCTCTCTCTTCTTCTGTAAGTCCGGGAGGAGTTTCCTCTGCAAACGGTTCGCTCCCTGCATCAGAAGATGACATACTGGTAAGACTGTTGTAGGTAAAGGTAGGGTAGTGCGTTGAAGTTGTTGTTCCTTGAAATGCTCATGGTAAAATAGTACAAAGCCATGGGGGATAAAATAATACAAAGTAGAGCATCCACAAAGGAAAGACTTGAGGGTGACTGCTTGCGGGTGAATGTACACTTCTTTGTCTGTTATACAATCAATGAAAGATATATACTTTGCTTTTGGTTTACACAGCCACATTGTAGCTATCTTCTCAAAGCCTAGGCTAAGCCTCCCAAAAGATTCACTTTTTCCGACTCATATTTTGGTGAAATAACATTGGATTTAATCTTGTGGCTCAACACTTTCAGAAACTGAGAAGTGAAGTTGTGGAGTGACCTTCGCTAAACGTCAGCCACTGTGGCTGATTAACGAGTTTTCCCTTCGAAGTCTGAAAACGGCCAATCACATCCTCAAGAAACCAGCAAAGTACTGAATACGTATTTCGGTTGAATTACTTATAATATCATGCCATTTAAGGATAGCCCTTGACAATTGTCCACTGTCGCGCATATGATCGCACGTAAGATGAATGAGAAATCACCTCTGCGAACAGTGAATAGAAAGGTGTTAGTTCTACATTATAGTTCTACATTGACGAAATTCTCATAGTTGGGGTCATTCTCTGGCGTAGACAGTCCTGTAATATCTATCTTATTGTAATCTGAGACGACTGATTGAATAATACTGTAACGCATTCACGGGTCTCACGCAATCGCATAGACAGGATGAAATTATCATTTCCAACTTCGAAATTTAGAAAGACGATGTAAGTTACTGAAAATAGATAGTGTTTTGTTATAAATTCTCGTTTAGGAATTGCTTCTGCGAATAGACACAACGCTAGGATGAACGTTTTCCCCCTTTGGAACAAATGGTCTACTATGAGTGTGTAAAAAGAACTCATCCGAACTTCAGGCTATAAATTAAACGCCAAGAATTATTCGATTGCAGTATGCGTAGAAACAAAACATTTCCCATGTCCGTTAACTTCTATCTTTTGGCTAGATTGACCAGCCTTAGCCTGCCGCACCCAGGGGCTCTGTTTTGTTGTTGTTGGTAGTGGTGAGATGAGGTATATAAGGCTCTTTGGGGTATTGCGCTATGCACCAGATACTGTCGCAATATTGTCGCTGGCATTCCACTCCACTTTCCAGAACAACTAGTTCATTACCCAAACCACCCCACCAAGGCATTTGATAGGGCGAATTAACAAAACATCTGAATATATTATTACAAGGTGCATACAATATTCTATTCAGACAAGAGGCCAGTTTGGAGGTTACCATCGTACAGATCAACTATGTTTGTGAATACAATCATTGCCCACGCCTCCTGATAACAAAACTCACTAGGATAGGTACAACACAAAGTAAAGATCGGTAATCATTTTAAAAGGAATGAAGTGTGTGGTATTATGTACATTTCGCCATGAGTCATAATCCAACCCCATCATTGAACCTACATTACACTCATCCATTCAAGCCAGATCCGGCGCAACCAATTCATCACGACATGTTGGAAATCTCTCAGAGATCAGAAAAAGAACTCCACTACTTAAGCTCCTTGCTCTCTTCAGCAACAGGAGAAACAACTGGAGCAGTAGCAACACCTTTCCCAACACTGGCCATAGAATCCTTCTCATCAAAGCCAGCTTCATAAGAAGGTGGACCAGCCTTGGTCTGCCCGTTCTTCAAGTTCAAGTGATAATCTCCATTCTCACTGATCATGTACTCCTCCTTGTCAATATCTCGGAAGGTGAGGTAGAATGCAACCGTCAGAACAGCACCAATGATGGTAGGTGCACCGAAATCCCAAGTTAGATAGGGATCTTTGATGACACCGGCAGTGGCAAGGCCGATGGCATAGGAGATGGCGGCCATGAAGAGGTTGATAGCGGAAAGGAGACCACGCATGTTCTTTGGTGCACGAGAGTATGCGATTCCGTAAGCAGGAACATTGACGAACAGCTCGGAAATACCTCCCAAGGCGTATGGGATGGCCATATACCAAATGGTAATATCGGCGACCAAAGAGACATCATTTTCATCCACACAATCAGCTGATGATCCATATTTCCCACATGGTCCTACTTTATATGCGTAGTAGTTGAGTATGGTATAACCAGCACCAGCGAGGCAGGATAGAAATAGACCAAAGGTTATACGTGCAATAGGACCGAAGTGAATTTTGCGGTTTCGGAGAAGTGGGTAGAGTCCGTAGTTCAGAATTGGTGCCATGATGATAATTGAGAGAGAGTTGAAGTTACCAATGACATCGTTTGGTACACCCTTTGTTGAGAGCATGGTAGAAAGTGCGTTTGCTGATCCTCCGAGACCCTGGTCGTTGATAGACTGGAATGGGAAGAAAAGAAACATACCAGTTGCCTGAAATGTTCGCTTGACATCGTCGACGAATTGATCGTTCCATGGGACTTCGATAACGTTGCCAGATTTGGCGATGTTAGATGGTTTGGCTGCTTCGAAGAAACCACCACGACCGAAGCGCTTCAAGCCTCCACGTTTGAAACAGACTCCGACAACACGGCAAACGTTTCCAAGATCACTTCCCCCAGGTGCATGAAGGACGAGTTTGTCTTTGAGCCAGTAGAGTAACGGGAATAGCGGAAGGTACAGGATTAATGGCAAGAGGAACGACAACCACCAGCCGACATATTTTTCGGTATATGTGGTTGGGACGTTCATGAAACCTCCAATATTGATCAACAGATAGAACTAGGACAATTAGAATGATATCTGCAAATCAGGAAAGTGCTCCTTACCCATAACATGACCCTTTCTGTCGTGTGCTCAGGATCGACAATGACCTTTTCGCCGGTCTTCAACGTTTTTGTTTCCAAAGTATGACTCTTCATTTGATCCAAAAGAATAGGGGAGATATTAGGTTTAAACATTGCTATTTGAATATTAGGTTTCGGATATCAAGCTCTTGTATACGGAAGGGACTTACCAGCACCGACTGATAGAACGTATACACTCAAAAAGAAGGGTATCTTTGCATTACCATTGGCCAAGAGACTTGGAGCACCAGAAGCAACCACTAATGAATTGTTAATTGATTCTAATCCGGCGGTATCATGATAAGACTTACTAATGACGTGAGCGACTCCGCAAACTGCCACACCCCAACAGACCATCTTGAAACGACCAGTTCTGGTATCGGCAATCCAGGCAAAAAAGAGTGGCAAGGAGTATGCCAACATAGAAAAAGACTGAGAAACGGCCGTTGCTTTCACTGTTCCCATTCCGAGAGCACCAGCAGTTTGTTCAGTCCCGGCTGGAGGTGCACCATAGCCGTTTCCATTGGTCGGCAGTTTTCTGTTGACAAAATTGGAGAACAGAGGTTGGACACCTTTTCAATGAAGTTAGCATATATTTGTTTGAGTTATAAGAGAGTCTAGATGATGGGATTTCCCCTAAATCACTCCACATATATACATGTCGACATGTATTCGAAGAAATGGAGTATTTACCATAGTAACTCGCTCTCTCAGCAAACTCGACAGCACAGATGACATATGCAATACTAGGCAACTTCCCTGCCACTCTGCGAAGAGTGAGTCGCTCCTCCTCTGTGGGAGCATTGGCGACTGGAAGAGTAGCGCGGACAGCATCGGCTTCAACCATTGAGCCCCGACTCATATCCAAATGGGCTTCAGGCCCGAGGATGATTTGGGCATCGGCGGTCTTATTTTCTTGAGCTGGAGAAACATTAGCATTGAAAATCCACAAACGCTCTTCATAAGTCAACACTTACACATGATTGCGACTTGAACCCGCCAGGAATACAACGAAGACTGAACCTGGATTCCCATCGAAAGTAGGACCAGGAGTACTTAAGTGTTTTCCTGGGCACCCACACCCTCGTCCATGCCCGTAGAAGTATCCACTTTCCAGCGGGTCGTCTCTGTCCAATGTAAACCGACTGTGCTATCTTTGCCGATCAATCTCGCACGAGCTACCCCAAAGTAGAAGCTGGATAAGTGTTGCAACATGGAGATCTCAATGTGGGGTGCAGGGGGGGAACCATCAGACGGGGCACCCGCTTTTTCGGGCCTAGAGCAATAACTGAACAAGCAGGAATACAACATTGATGAGATGAACTTTATTGAAGTACGTTTACCAAAGGCTTTATTATCAAAATATCAGACTCTGTCTTAAACTGGTGCTCACAAAAGATCTTGGGAATAATGAGGTAGATTGAACGTTCGGGGGCAACACTTTCCTGCACCCACACTGAATTGGGCCAAACGATATATTTTCATATAATTTACGGCGCAGCACTTCAAGACGGACGGCTGGGAATACACAGATAGGGGGAAAGTCAGTTCCGCTTCTCTGGTAATCATGGCGCCATCATAGGCTGGTTCCTCAAAACCCACAATTACGATAAGACGCAAAGGGAGTTTCGAGGGTTCGATTTGCCACGCGACGACATGCTCCGTACAGAGAACGCTGGTGAATGTTGTGGATTGGGATAGCCAGAGCTACATGAAATATGCAGCAGAGTGAGCCTCCAGAAGTCGCCGCTACCCGTAAAGAAATCGCTAATTGTCATCAAAGAAGACATCTGATAATACACGGTCATTACCCATTGAGCTCTGAATCAGTTCACTTCAAAAGTCGAAGTTCCCTCGCCCCTTCTATTCCCCCCTCACACCCCTGTCCAGGACCACATCGCCAATGTTCGAGAGGGTAGATTGCCAAGTTGCCAACCTGCCAATTCGAGTCTTGGTGAGCTTGATGTTCTCGATCAACGCTTCGCAAAGCTTTCTTTGACCTAACCAACAAGCAAGTGGACAAGAGGGTATGGTTGGTCTTCAATCGCCTCTGTCTTTTTGCACCCAGCTCTCAAGGATTCGTTATCTTGTGAGAGACGGTCGGTAGCGCTGGGGCTTCGCTACATCCTGGCACGTGCCTAGATTACCGACAGGATAAACAGCCTAATTCAGGGGTGCGCCAGGTGGTCCCTCGATTTCGCGGGCCGACTACATTCGCAATTGGGCCTCGGTATCGCTCGCGACATGAGAAACGAGCTGTAAACAAAGTCGCTAGTGGCAAATATAAGCTGAGAAGATAAAACTGCGTTCAATTCTCATAATAATCATGGATACGAGTTTGGGTTTCTCTTCCATGATAGATACAGCGGCCAAATAGAACCATAATTTGACTGGTTCGGAAGTCCTTCCAGAAACGTAAGTCACGTGAATTTACCCCCTTGATGTTTTGTCGGTATGAAACGCTTTCTACCGGCTGAGCTATCTTTGCTCAAAGGAGTTCTTCCGATTTCTCTTAGAGAGCTCTTACGTGAAGCGAGTTAGGGTCATTTCCTTATCACTACTTTCCCATTGTTTGTCCGTATACGAATGTGCGATTCGTTGTTGGGTGTCTTCAGCCAATAATTGAATACAAGCTAGGCCGCTTATGCATGACCAAAACCTCGAGTTTTATTGGTTAGAACCAACAAATTCTCCTGCCGGAAGGATCAAATGCTTGTTGATATGCATGCTTGTTGTGAGGAACGGGAAGTTGCCACCTCCCAGCGCGATATTGTGGTCCGAAGATTCTCGTAAGATCAACCAACCGGTGAAGACCGTCGACCTTCTAGAATATCAAAAGTGCTTCCAAATCTGCGGACAGCACTGTAAATACGGTAAGGGTCTTGGTTCAATGTTCCGAGGGTTGACATGCATCCTAATGCTACCTTCAATCGGTCAGCCTAGCGGGACTACTTATATACGCTAATAGAAAACTGACGGATCAATTCCTGTAACGTTCCTCAATCTAGCAAAGTCTTACAGTATCTTAGAATAACAGTGGTTTCGATGTTTGAGATAAGCTGAGAACATACGGTGGATATTTTGACGTTGGAATTGTCATATGACCCCCACTGATGTTGTTGGACCCGCGTTGGTGTCAATATCTGCTCATTCTACCTGTACAAAAGAAGGCAAATTCCAACATTCCAAGAGTTGATAGATGTGCTCATATAAACTTGCTGTTGTCTCCTTCCCAATCCATCCTGTTTTGCCGCTCGCTCAAAACTTTTACGCCGCATGGCTGGTGGCCCGTATCTGAGTTCAAATTCATCTGCCGTGCCAGCGGGCTGGCGATTTAGCCCATCTTTTTGCTGGGTAAACATGACATTAATGAGGTTCTGGTCCGGTTTTATGTGCAGTTTCATACCTATTGGGACAATATTCCTTCCAGACTAGAGAGTGTCAGGTACGAACACGTGCTCAAAGTGGAGAAAAATTGTCCAGTCTTATAATATCTTCCCCGTAAAACAAAGTCGTTTAGCCCACCAAGCTATGTTTCCAAGAATTTGAGCCTCATTAAGACCCAGTTATTGTATCCGTTCAAGCGTAAGTTCGTACCTGGCACTCTCCAGTCTGGAAGGGATAAGGCTTCTCCTCTTGGTGACTAGCAGGATTGAAGCGTTTCTACTATTGTGCTGCATGGAACTTTTGTATTTAGTCTGTGACTACAAAATGCCCTGATCTCCCCTGCGGGGTTTTTGCGTCGATTGGCCCGAGTTTTTACATTCGTTCTGCTTCATTTCGGTATATAAACTTCGTCGAATGCCTTAGCTGGAGTCTACATGTGTTTTCCAAAAAGTCTCGGAGAATATTTGTGTATCAATTTACGATATACTATTCGTGAATTGCTATGATTTCTAAATTCTAATTAATTTTATCCTGACAGATTCGAATGATGATTTTAGCAGGCAAACACATAGCCGTTGAGATTGGGAGATCTCGTTAATTTCTGAGGAAAATAGTCTTCCTCGCGAAGGAGCAAGCGAGTAATGGAGTGATCTACATTGAAGAATGTTCTCAGATACTAAGTGTTTATGGAGACGCAATAATAAACACAAGTTACAGAGTGGCTCATACGCTCTTAAAGTGTTCCATAGAGGCCGCCAATTACTTAGACTACAACGCCACAAGTCAAGAACCACGTCCTTAGACAGCCTGCGGTAAAATACCCTAGTATTTAAAGCCCCTGGTTCGTTATTTCCATGGGATCCGCTGTCAAACCACTTGTATTCTTTTAGTGGGGTTGCTGGATCTTATCGGAGGCTCTGCTGTTTTCATCGTTCTGTACTCCTTTCAAACTTCAAGAACATATATTCAAGTGGAGCAATCGTACTATCAAGTCTCTCCCCAAGAGGTTATTTCATGCCAAATGACTATGTAACTGCAAACAGTTCCATGCTCCAACCACCTTTTGCTGCTGGCTGGTAAGACCTAACGGGAAGCAGCAACTGGAAAATTCGCTCAGGCTATACCAAAGTCATTACATCTAGATTTCTTTTCTTACAGACCTAAAACCTTGAGTTCTGGGATTGGGTATTTTATGAGTTTCAAGTATTTTGATCAGTGTTTGTATATGTTGGTATAACTTGGTAGGATAATAAAGGTACGACAAAAGTAGCAAAAGTAGACAACAACGAGTACAAAAGTAGTAGTAGTATATGATTGATTGTGTGTTTGCTACGTGGAATCCGGGCGTAGCCCGATATATCACGTAAATAAACCCGTGAATATATCGCAACAGTATAACTTAGTAGGGTGATAAGGGTACGTAAGTGATGCCATTATAGGTACGAAACAGTAACAAAATTACGACGACGAGTAATAACAAAGGTACAAAAGTAGTAGTAGCAGATGATTGATTGTGTGTCTGCTACGTGGAATCCAGGCATATATATAGCCCTGAATATCACGTGAATATATCGTAACATGATAATTTCAAATTTATATGGCCTAACTTACAAGCGGGTAGGACTGCATACCTAGGTATTTACTAGGTAAGGACCATGGTGTTTATGAAGGCTCCAGAATTTCCGCTCTTCCCAGCTGAATTGCTGTGGTCCTTGATGATAGCACGAGATTGTTCACTCGTGTGTCGTTAGATGCGCTTCGAATAATAAGGCAAGTCAAGAAGCTCACACATGCAGGACGGGACCATTGGGCTTGCGCTCATGAACGAATCCATGCGCCACGCTTCTCAAATCTAGTTTTGGCAATCATGAGATACAAAGGTTTTTAGTTATTCTTCCGAAGAATACATTTCTGTGCGACTCCAGAGTATAATGAACCAGCGTACCTCGCTTACCGAAAGGAGGTCTTGGATTCTTTCTGAGAATAGTTGTCTATCTGTGCGTCAGAACTGCGCCCAATCATCGCATCGCACCTCTCGTGCACGAGAGAATTTCTAGAAGTTGCGGACATAAAATCTCCGTTTCTTACGCACTCCAGGTCTTTGCTTTGTACGCATTCCTCGGTCCGTCGAATCATTCAACCTTTTTTAACCATCCCAGGAAGCCGAATGATGATTTGATCGTCTCCAACCCGCCTCTGACGAGCAATTCTGAAAAATGAGAAGATGATGTTGCTTTAAGTCGTGAACGGAAAGCGCGGGCTCCAAATCTTTCTTTCCCAGAATAAAACTTTACCCATCCCCGCTGTGACTAGATTCGAGTCACTCCTTCCTTCTTAACCACTTGTCAACCCCGCCTCGACCTTTTTCCAGAATCCGACTGGAAAAATATCTAGACTAAAAAGAGAAGGCACGATCTTGTTTGCTTCCAGAGTATTAAATCTCGACATTGGTGGGGAGATGCTTTTGTTTGTCAGGAAAGAATTGTGAGGGCGTTTGAACAGAACGCAGGGCAGTACAAGAAGCCCTATAATTACACAAAACCCCAATCGCTCTCGCTAATCCCTCGATTGAGAAGGGATCTGACTCGACGAATATTCTGGAAGGACGACCTTTTGATTTTCGCGACAGCGATACATGTCTCATAACCCTCCAAGCATTATTTCAGCTCAGCTTTTGCGAGGTCTACCATATGCTCGCCTGATTTCGACCATTGGCCTTTTAAAAACAAGAGAAATCACACCGTTAGATTCATCATTATAATTCAGATTTCTTCATGGAAAGAGAGAGTGTTTTGATCAGTTCGGTCAGCAATACTGTTTAATCATGCTGGATTCTGCTTGAGCCTCACATCGACCAAGCAGCTCAACTTAGCTAGGCGAGAGAGTTGGAAATGTCTTAAAAATGACCTTTTGATTCGTTTTTAGAGTCGTATAGATACCCTGTGGCCGAGATATAGAACTCTAAAGAGTAAGCGAAGATTAAATAAAGTTAAAGCTGGCTCTACAAGGGTCGGGGGAGAAAGTTCAGGATGCGCCATCTTCAAACGCCTTAATCAGTGACCTTAACCTTACTGTAACCTGATTCATGAAGGTGGGGAGCTTGCGAATCAATGGCTGCAATATTGAAGCACCAGCAGATGACAAGGGTGGGGCAGTACTTCAGAAGAGTCTGGGGGAATAAGCCGATAGCATAGAATTGAGCAGCGGAATGTTCCAGGAAAAGATTTGCTAAAAATGAGTAGATCAGAAATCAGAAATTCCCTTCTATCAGCGAAATATATTTTGCCTTTCTGCCTATTTTGGTTCTCGAAGGCTTAAATCCTCGACTCCTTCACGCAGCCCTCTTTCGTCGACAGCAGACAAGGCTCCCCTTCTGAAGCAATGGGGTATTAAAGGCATCAGGAATACATCGAGGGACGAAAAGAGGCTTTTCTGTGGTACTATTGAGTGTTTTCAAAGGAATATGTCAGTCTATTTACACCTACCAAATGCGGATACAAAATAAGTATTAGATTGTGTTCAAGGCATTAAGTATATGTAGGAGTGAGCACTGAGAATGCCGACAATAGAGCCCCTTCTTTCTGACTCAAAGGTAGGTTTGGCAAACTTATTGTGTATTCAGATAGTTTTCTATTTTATCTAAACACCGGTTTCCAATTTGTTAAATGATCACAATTGGTGCTTTAGCAAGAAGTTTCCAACCTGCGCCTGTACGAGTAGAGACGCTTTTCATTGAGGGTCCGAAAGATGATAAGCGTATTTTTCTTTGGTTCAAAGAACTCTGCTGCTTCGCTAGTTCTGTTCTATCGGCCCTTTTCATTTTCTAGTGAAGTTTTATCAACAGGGATATAGCGGTAAGTATATCCAAGAACTGCGGTGATAAAAGGCCGTGAATACCGTGATAAGTAGTCTCTAAGGAGAATGGGTGGAAGGGGTATAAATGATACTAAGGTTTGTCCGTAGGCCCTAAGTGGCTAGAAGTTTGAGGCCAAGGCCCTTTTTCTTATACATAGGCGGATTTTTTTGCCTAGAGACCTGTAAAAGGCCGACCTTAAATTGGCCCAAAAAGCGATCTTTCCAACATCTGCTACTCTTTAGCGCAACCCAACCACGGACCACCATTTCCCTTAAAGACGATTCATCACGGCACAAAAGTTAACGGATACGGGAATTAGCCGTGTAAACTCGATACAAGGCTACCATGGTGAACCGACTCTAAGGAGCATGCGGGGGAAGGAGGAGGTTTGTGGAGTGGCAAACTTGGCTAAACTACTTATCAAGCCCCTTAGTGAACGGCTTTCTACAAGTCCTAGGGCAGAAAAGTCTGATCATGAGAAGCTACCGCCGATCCTAATTATTTACATGATCAGAAGGACTTCTAGCCACTCAGAGTGTACGGGCGGCCCTTATTGTTATCAAATTTCGCACCTCTTGCTATCCATAACCCCTCCCTCCCCGCATACTCCTTAGAGTCGATCTACCACGGTACTGATAGTTCCAAAAAACCCCACAAGTTGTGTTCTCATCAAGGTTGTTTAAGAATAGATGAGGATTCAAGGATTTCCATGCTTTTAAGTAGCGTGGATCTTCGTAGCGAGGCTGTGCTGTAGTTGCCAATCCCTTGGAGCCCCAATTGCGCTCTGCTTCCGCTTTTGAAAATTATTTTCTCTTAACATTTTTTCACTGCTTGACTCTCCCCATCGTCAAGCATGTTTTCTTGGTTCGAGTCATGGTGAATAGCATAGTCAAAACCACAATACGTACCTACTTATCAATACCAATGAAAATAATGACAAAGCAATTGTTTTGAAGTAAGTCTCATTGCCGAGGTCAACCAAGACAAATGCCGAATGGTACAGCCTTATCTGAAGCAGAAGGTGATTTCGGTGGTTTGTGTGATTCTTGTTTTGTATATGGAAAAGGTACGTGCAATCCCAGGACAACCATGCAAATATGTCTAGGACCAAGCGTCACTTCCCGAGGCTCTCCACAAAAGGATTACTTTTGTAGGTTTTTTGATTGGTTCTTACACTTGGAGACTGTTGGGCATGGCCCGCTTCTCTCCAATTTACCGTGGTAAATCGTCCTTAGAGGAAATACTGGGGTGTGAGGGTGGAGTACGGAATAGTACCGGTACGAAACAATGTGATCCGGAGGCTTCTACTCCCTAGAATTCCATCTTCTTATGCGTAGAAGATTGCGATGAGCCGTCTAGTGCCGTTTCTCTCTAGGGGTCCGCAGAAAGCTGTTGTCTAAGTGGCCCGATATTGTAGTCTTGGACCGTCTTGCTAGCTTCTGTTCCTCCACCCTCACACCCCAGCATTTCCTCTAAGGACGATTTACTACGGTAGTTGTGTCCATAATTCCGCCCTTTTCGAGCGGCACCTCCGAAACAGACTGAATATCATACAAGTTGTACTCCGGGTTCCGATTAATACGAAGTACAAATACCATGTTATCCCCAGATTTTGGGGAACACCTCATTCCTCAGTAGTACGCTGGTAAGGTACTTCAACTCTATCTCTCTTACTGCCACTCCCGAAATTTTCTTGTGTTTAAAATTTTCCGAAATCTTAAACTAACCAGTGCCGATAGGTATTCTACCACCGACTTTCATTTATATTAATTCAGTACACTCTTTTCAATCGCAAACATGAAATTATCTTCATCTTCCATCCTTATCGCCGGAGCTTTCTGTGCAGCAACATGCTCTGCACAGAATGACTGGAAGGCACCTCTAACAACCGATAAGCGTTCTCCTTGTCCAATGGTCAACTCTCTCGCCAATCACGGCTTCCTTCCCCGCGACGGCAGAGAAATCACATTACAAGCGCTCAAAGATGGCTTCAAGCAAGGAGCAAATCTCGCGGAATCTGCCACAGAAGTTGTTGGTGGAAAAGCTTTGTCAACAAGCACAACAGGAAACCCAGAAACTTTCAACCTTGATGACCTTAAGAAACACCCAGGGTGTATGTTCTCCAGCCTCCCTCTCTCTGATTTAGTATATCAATCTAATATATGAAATAGTTCTAGAGCACGATGCTTCTCTTTCCCGACAGGACACCTTCTTTGGCGACAACGCCATATTTAACAGCTCAATTTGGGACCATACCCTTGGTTTCTTCCCAGATCCAGTAATCTCCGTCCGGCAAGCCGCAGCAGCGATTGCAGATCGTCAGGTCAAAGCCAGGGCAGAGAACCCCGAGTTTAACATGACTGCTGGAGACAAGACGGCCATGAATATTGAGACTTCACTGTACTTGCTCACCTTTGTTGATGAGGCTCAGAGTGTACAAAAGGAATGGGTTGAAGTTCTTTTCAGTAAGTACTGATTTATTATGCTTAAAATGGTATGACCAGAACACTAATCTAGCTTAATTAGCTGAGGAGAGACTTCCAATTGTAGAGGGGTGGGTTAAACCTACTACTGAGGTCACCGTACCTATGGTTCTGGCAAAGGTGGCAGAAATTGGTAATGCCTTGCCATTACCAAAATAAGGGAACTTTTGTACTTTTGTAGTGGGATGGAGTTTGCGAGTTCATGTCCTGCGTTTGGGGTTTAAACTATGAAAATGAAATGTTTAACGTAAAATCGGTTTCTTCTTGAACTTGCTTGTCTCGTTCGGATTTTGATGATACGAGTACCGCGGATTTATACTGGACGAAATGTTGGGTAGATGGCGGGGTGGAGCAATCTGATCAACCACAAACCAGGGCCATGTGACGAATCAAAGAAGAACTAAAACCCATTGTATTACTCTAGTTATTCGGATAAATTGAAATGATTAACCCAAAACGATAGGGTAATGAACGCAATCGTTCTAGATATGTTAAACATTCTGGTCTTATATTAACTTACGCTAATTATCGCAACATCTACAAGTGTTTACTCACGTGACCTGTAGATGGCATTAAGCGTTTGTAGTCTAGCTGTAGCTGCTTTCTCTCCTCTAACCAGATAGACAGATTTCTTCAACCCTTATCCCTTTTGAGTGCGGTGAACTGGGTGAACCGACATGAATAGTTAAAAAAAATAAAAAATCTCAGCCAGTTTTCTTGCCCACATGGAGACGCGTAATATATTCGGAGTTGACGGGCCTTCCGTCTAGTTCTGCTTGACCCTGAAAGAACCATACACGGTACGACCGGAAGTGGATGATATTTCATTTCAGAACAAGGTTGTACCTGAGAATTCACGAATACGGTACTATATTGTAGGCGAATTCCTTGAAGCGACCACCACCCCACTCATCCGCCGAATTCCGCTGCCCACGTTCAAATCGTCGTCACTCCATCAACCTCCCTTATTAGCAATACATCAGTGACTGTCAGAAAATAATCACCGTAATGAAAATATTGAACATTTCTTGAGAAGTTCAGCACATTCATGCAAGTAATATCCTATCCCACCATTCTATTTACCTGTCGGAGTGAATTTATCCAAAACCATGGGTTCTTGAATGTTCATTGCCAACGACACACATAAGTCAACAGCAGTGAAGTGACAATAATCTTTATAAAGAAAACCCAAAATCTCTCATTTATGTAAAACTAGCATGCTAATTATCTCTGGCAGAACATATATCTAAAACCCCAATATGCTTCCTAGAGCCTCTGTGTGTTGAAAGAATTCATCTCTGCAACTGAATGCACATCAACTGTCTCAATGTCTATCGTCATTCAACTCCCATTCATCGACTTTTATACAATCCCCAAAATAAAGAAAATCAAAACAAAAACAAAAACTCGCCAACCAAACTCCAGATTCAAATCAAGTGGCGTTTTCCATCGACATTAGTAATGCATCTGGTCGTTTAATTAGTTCTTGTGCTCGGCCCATCCCTCGTCAGCAGAGCCGTAGTTGTCATTGTATTTTCCGGATTCACGCTTCACAACTGGAAGGGCCTCTGGGTCCTCAACTGGAAGTGGATCTGAGTTCTCGACTGGAAGTGGATCTGAATTCTCAACTGGGAGGTCCTGTGGGTCTTTGACAACCTTAGAGTCATCATCATCGTTTCCGATCTTTTCTCCGAGGTGAATGATGTTGTCACCCAAGTATTGCTTGAATGCGTCCCATTTGCTGTCAACGTCCTCACCGGCATCTTCAGCGAACTCTTTGACATCGTCCTTGAGATCAACAAAGTCTTCCTTAATCTGGTGAGCAGCATTCCCAGTAACGTTGGCGACTTTGTCAACACCGTCTCCGACCTTCTCCTTAACATAGTGACCGGCGTCACCAGCAAGGTAGAGACCGTCCTGAGCGAGGTCCTGAGCGTCATTGATGGCGTCCTTGGTAGAGTTCTTGAATTCATCGTATTTGTTGTCAATCTTTTCTCCGGCTCGGTCGATGCTGTTACCAATATTTTCCTTGATTTCGTGGGCCTTCTCGAAGACAGACATGCGGGTGTCGTAGATGCTTTGCTTGACGGACTCCCATTTCTCGTCAGTGAATTGCTGAACCTCGTCAACTTGGTTAGCAGCAGCTAGGCGAAGTTCTTCAAAGTTTTTTCTGATCTCCATCCATTGCTCGGCAGAATAGTCCTGGAGAGCGTCGATGTTGTCAGATGTAGCATTGCGGAAGTCTCCAATGCTTTCCTTTAGAGAGTTCCATTGGTCTTCGGAGAACTTTTGAGTACCATCAACAGCACCAGAGGTAGCGTTGTTCATCCCATCAATCTTCTGTGCCAAGTCTCGCTTCAACTCTTCCCATTTTGCGACAGCCAAAGCTGCAAGAGCCTCGCTGACATCGACATCCTGTGGTTGAGTAGTTGGGAGGCCTCCACCGGTGCCACAGTAAGCCTCAGAGCTTCCGCACCATCCGTATTGACTGCAGCAGGGACCGAAAGTTGAGCCTAAGCAGGTTTGGGTCGCACTACATTTTCCGTCGAAGCTCACGGTCAATTCCTGTCTCTTGGAGACGGGAGCAGCGGCAGGAGCAGCAACGGCAGGGGCTACAGCTGGGGCAGCAGCAGGAACTGTAGCAGGAGCCGGGTAAGGAGCTGGAGCTGGGTAAGGAGCAGCCGGGTAAGGAGCTGGAGCTGGGTAAGGAGCAGCCGGGTAAGGAGCTGGAGCTGGGTAAGGAGCAGCCGGGTAAGGAGCTGGAGCTGGGTAAGGAGCAGCCGGGTAAGGAGCTGGAGCTGGGTAAGGAGCAGCCGGGTAAGGAGCTGGAGCTGGGTAAGGAGCAGCCGGGTAAGGAGCTGGAGCTGGGTAAGGAGCGGGCGCTGGGGGAGCGATTGGAAGACCGGTAGTAGGATCGATGGCTGGGGGAGCGATTGGAAGACCGGTAGTAGGATCGATGGCTGGGGGAGCGATTGGAAGACCAGTAGCCGGATCAATTGCTGGGTCTGCGTATGGAAGACCAGTAGCTGGATCAATGGCGGGATCAGCAGAGCTGGTTCCGTTCGTTTGGGGTGGGAGTATGCCAGCTGTCTTGAGCAACTTGGTAGCGGCCTTTTCCTTGACATCCTCGATCTTGCCCGTGAAAGCATCTTTGATGGCGTCCGTAAAATCAAAGCGTTTGGCGAGGGGAGCAGTCTCGTTCTGAGGAGGAACAGGAAGGTACTTGTTGACCTTTTCTTGAACCTTTGCGTCGAATTTGTCTTGTAGGTGCTGTCTCCATGAGTCGTATCTCTCCGTGGCTTCATTTTCAAGGTCTTCGGAAAGATCGTATCCATCCTCTTGACGGCGCTTGATGGGCATTTCCTCCTCGTCTTCGGCTTCTTTCTTGATATCTTCGGCATCATCCTTAAGGTCGAGATCAACAGGAGGACCCTCAACAGGAGGGGCCTCAACAGGAATAATGGTCTTCTGAGTAGCGGCATGAGCGGTGTCGTTTGATAAGTGAAGCCCTTGCTTGATCTTCTCGCCCATATGGGCCTTCCAAGTCTGGTATTTTTCCTCGATGGCTTGCTCAAGGTCGTCGGTCAGATCGTACTCCTCATCGTCACTGTCGTCATCTTCGTGTCTCTTGGCCTTTGGAGTAGAGATGGTTGGCAAGTCCTCCTTGCGGGCACCAGAGTGTGGTGATCGTGATACTACGACTGTAGATGAACCACTACCGGAACTGCTGGGGTAATTATTAGCTTCATGAAAAGATAATTTGTGGACATTTAGACTAACTGTTTTTTGAAGCTAGAAAGGTCTCCATTGGTGATTTGTGGAAGAGCTCTGCCATTGACTGCAATCAAATTGACAATCAGGAGAACTACGATTGGGCTGTTACAGAGCTGCATTTTTGCGGATTTGATTGATCAGGACTCGAGAGGATTATTTCAGAATAATTGAAAGAGTGAGAGAGAAGGTATTGAAAAAGGGGTGCAAAAGTGCAAAAGAGAGTATGAAATAATAGAGAGAAAAAAGAATGCTAAAACAAAATGCAAAATGCACTAAAAAGAGTGTGAAGGTGAGAAGATGAGTTGGGTGAGGAAGAAAGCTATTTCAACAGAGGAACATCTGAGTTAAGTAGTTCCTCCTTCACTTGCCAGTTGTGAGAATAGAGTTTCGGTAATCAGTGTAGGGTCTTTCCCGGTACCCCGCCTGTTCTGCAAGAGAACGGTGGTGCCGCAAGGCCAAGTTCCTAAATAAAGAAGACATAAAACTGGGCGTTCCGACACAATTACAGTGGCAGATCATCATGCGAGCCAAGAAGATACTTCTTGAGTGTTTTTTCAAGATAATTCGAGATTCTTGTTGGCCAAAACCATCCGGCATTGAAAAACAATCATTTTGCTTACCAATTGCTTGATATTCAGCCGACGTTGCTCCATCTTTACAAGATGGAGTCCAACCGACTTTTACGAAGTATAAAGTAGTCCAGACGCCGTGAAAAGAGAGTAACGAATGGCGTTATCAATTCATCAGTTTCGTGGTTCCCTAAATCACAATTTACAGCGCCGTTTTCTTAAGCGGTAAGATGGTATTTCAACCGGGCAAAAATCGGAGAGGGTCAAACACTGGAAGACGGCCAACTCATGAATGGCCACTATTCGGAAAATTCACCCTCAGACTTTGCGCGTTTGAGAGTTGGGATGACCGATCCACCGCAGATATCTCAGCATTTTCTCAAAATAAAACCCGAAGGCTGGAAGATGAGAAGATGAACGAAGAACCTCACGTGAATCCTATCCTTTTCCAAGCTCGTTTGAATCATTTGCTAAAATGAGGTAATGCATCTCAATGCAAGCCTGCACGCCCTTAATTATGCAAAACCCACATTGAAGCTTGATTCACATAAAAAGTGGAGCTTTGACGGAGGATCCGATGTAGAAGTATTTCAGTACGTGGGGCGGATAAGATCGATCCCATCGTAAATCGCGTTCACGTTCGTCATGTTCACTCAAAAACGTCCACTCTCATTCGCAGTGCTGTAAAACAAACACCACTCGGGCTCGCCAGAGTGGTGCTTGCACGTACTGTAATGAGGTCGATGCCGCGGAACAACCCCGCTTTGGGGGAATTGAGCATTGAGGGGCCTTGGATCCGACTCACAGTCGAGTGCACCGTGATATAAAGATATCGGGTTGGAATGAATGCTGGATAACAGCCATGCTTCTGGCTAGGCTTAGACATAAAAATCTCGGGCTATCGTTCTAAAGACATCCATGGGATCCCCATGGTGGGGACGCTTTTCACTAGAAACTTTAGAACCATTGCCTGAGTTATCTATAAAGTTCAAAGAAGCAGGACAATGAAAACCGACGGAAGCTTGTACTCTGATCGGTTATACAATCAAGTCGATAGCTGAAGAATTCCTTCTTTCTTCACTCAGGAGGGCCTTGAACGACACAAGAGGCTCCTACTTAGCTGTAGAAAGCTAGAATCTGACAGAGAACACCCGGATTAATCTCAAACTTCTCTGCATCATCCAACACTTTATCAGGTTGGTTAGTCAATCTTGAGAATCAAAGGATAATTGAAAACTATCGAACCGGAATTTCATCTGTTCCAAGCACCCCATTGCACTTAGATGGCTTTAGTTAGAACCGATTGACACTCTTCTAGGGCATTTGTTGGAGATGTGTCTTTGATACTTTCAGAAATTCGGTGAGGAAGAAAGCCTCCAGTATGACGAGCAACATGACCGCTGAGCAAGGTTGCTTAGAAAATCACGAATCGAAACAATGCCTCGCAGAACCGTTCGATGAGGGTCTTCCGGTACCATTATGGAACGACTTAAAATATTACCAGATGAGGGCTTTCCTTCTCGCCCTCTTTGCTAATAGAGCACCGCAAGCGCTTGAACTGAAGGAAAAGTCAGAATTCGTAAACAAAAATAGGAACAGAATCAACCACATAACAAAACGCTATTTGGGCAAATCAAAGCTCGCTTCGGGTAATTTATCAAGGTTTTCCACAACGTCAGACTAGGTAATAGTTTTCTACTTCTAGAAGCTGCAGCGTCCAAGGCGGAGATTACGGAAGAAGATGTAAACTCGGTAGTTGGAGAAACTGTTGAGACTCTATTCTTAGCACTTGCTTAGGTCTTCTAATGTAAATAAATTCAAGTATCAAGGATAACAAAAGCCATGTCCAAAGAAGACATCCCCAACAGACGAGCCTCGTTGTCATGACAATTCCATGGCCCCATGGGCTAACGGATTAAGTTTATATGGTTGGAAAAGTATATTCAGACTGCCAAGCAGCGCTGCAAGGCAATCAAACAACTCAGTTCTCCCTTGCCCTAAGCCAAGACAAGAACGGGTTGAGGCCATCCCCTCAAGATGCGGCTCATGAAAATGATTTTGAGACAGAGTCGATGAATAGCTATTGCGTGACAGGAATGTGTAAGGTCAGTAGCCCAAAGCGTAAATCAGAGATTGTGTCGCGGAGTAGTTTGTAGATTGCAAAAACGTTCGCCGTGGCCCCTAGGAGTAAGGGATGCCATATATATTTTCAGCGATAATAACCGCCTTTGCAGCGATATTTTCGCAGTCCTTCGCGGAGATGGACTTCGAGAAGGTATTTTTACAGCGATCAAAATGGGGAATCGGGATGGAGAGGAGGACCTTAGAGGACGGGAGGACGGGAGGACGGAGAAGACTGAAGTGAGGTCATCGACGACAGTCACGACGCCCACGTTTCGTCGGTTTCTTGCTGCTGGTGCTAGTGCGTGCTGACTATACTGAATCGATCATCTCTGTTGGATACGGCTGAGGTAATACAGCCTTCCTGTACAGTATCAATTGTTGGGTCAAGTTTCTGGTCGCCTGAACTGAAGTCTGAAGAGCTGTGGAACCTTTGGAATGCCTGATGCCCTAGGCCGCGTTGGAAGAGAGCTTTTGGTCACGTGATTTTATTTCTCCAGTATAGGTACCTAACCTTCGGAGGCATCTAGACATCTACGTGATAGTTCTAATACGTGAATACGAGTTGGTAAGCAAGTTTGTCAAATTGGTTCTCTTCATACGAGTTAGGTGGTTTACAAGATCTAGGTTGCCGATGTTGCCAGCTAGACATGTCACGTGTGGTTGGTGTTGGTCTAAACCCCTTTTCATTTGGCGCTAAATAATGCACGCACTTTGAACAGGCTCAGCTGAGTCAGCTTTCTGAACGCGTAGTTTTCGTGACACCCGACGACGCGACTCGGCCCCTGGGCGTCACTGGATTTTCTGTCATTTGATCTAGAAATTTGACCCACCTCCTTGGCCTTATTTTCCCCTCAACACCACAACAACACTATCACCAATATAATCAACAATGTCTTCTCCTAGTAAACGACCACAACGGAGCTCCCAATCCAGTACTCCTCGAAGAGCATCCCAACGAAATGCTGTTCCTAGCAGCCCACCCGACCCAGCAGCCGCACAGCTTCTCAATGAAGCAGCGTCGTCGCAAGGCAATGGCAATGGCAACAATACTCCTCGACGACGTGCCCCACCATCGTCCTCACCCATGATGTATCGATCATCTCCTGCAGACATTGCTAGAGCAAATCGAGAGAGAGAAGTTAGCTCGCCCTTGAGGCAGATGTCCAACACTCAAACAACGCAAGAGGATGGTGATCGGACACCACGAGCTAGTGGGCTCCTTAGAGGTAGGACAAGGGGAAAACTATGAAAAGAGAGCGTTCATTCTGATCGAATGCTAATCTCAATTTAGATTCTTCTCCAATCCAGTATGCGCCAAGTTCAAGCCCAGGCCTCAATAGTAGACAACAATCGCTTCAACCAGATTTGCGCAGCGAGAGCAGTGCTTTGTTTGTCCGGTCTTCACGCACATCCGGTCCAGGCTCATCAATCAATAACACCAGACGAGGAGATATCAACAACGATAATGCGAATACCCCACGTACACGCCGTCGCATCTTCATGGACGAGAATGGTCGAATGATTAGAGATATTGCTTCCGACGCCCAAGAGTCGGACGCCCCAACCTTCTCGAATCTAGATCAAACGACATCCGATGCCCAAGCCATGGGAGGAAACTCAACTCTCTGTATTTGGGGAACGAATATCTCGGTCAATGACACAATGGCAAGCTTAAAGAGATTTTTGCGCGAATTCTCCAACAAATATCGCATGTGGGCGGACGGTATGACACAGGAAGAAACACAGATGGACGAGGACGCCGAAACCAAGAAGTACATCGTTATCATGCAGAACATGATGACTCTTGGTGTTACATGTCTTAGCTTGGATTTCAAGGACCTGAAAGCATTCCCGCCAACTCAGAAACTTTGGCAGCAAGCCCAGGATTATCCTCAAGATATTGTCAGCTTGATGGATCAAGCAATCAAGGATATGATGTTCACTTTGGCTGAAGAACAAATGGCGAAAGAGCGCAGATCTCAAAGCAGCTCCGTTGGATTGACTGCCAACCAGAATAATGTCCCCAGCTCCGACCCCCCAGTTCCAAGTTCTGATCGTATGGACTCCGATGCACCAACTCCAAGGCCCGCAGAATCAACTGAAATTGAATGGACTCAAGAGGTTCAGAGCAGAAATTACAGAGTAAGACTATTTGGCTTGGACGAGACAGTCAACATGAGAGATCTTAATCCTTCAGGTATGAGTATTTTTCCACGTCCTGGTGCCTGTTTTAATTTTCATAGATGTGGACAAAATTGTTGCTATTAAGGGACTCGTCATTCGAACTACGCCCATTCTTCCCGATATGAAGGACGCCTTTTTCAAGTGTCAAGTTTGCAACCATACAGTCAAGGTTGATATTGACCGTGGAAGAATTGCGGAGCCAACGCAATGTCCTCGCCCAATTTGCAAATCACCAAATTCCATGCAAATTGTGCACAACCGTTCTGGATTTGCTGATAAACAAGTCATCAAGCTACAAGAAACTCCCGACTCGGTACCTGCAGGTCAAACACCTCATTCGGTTTCTATGTGTGCTTATGATGACTTGGTCGATTTGTGCAAAGCTGGTGACAGAGTTGAAGTTACAGGTATCTTCAGAGCAAGTCCTGTTCGAGTCAACCCCCGTCAGCGAACCATGAAGAGTGTATATAAAACTTACATCGACATCATCCATATCCAGAAAGTCGATGAGAAGCGAATGGGTATTGACGTTTCCACTGTCGACCAAGAGCTCGCCGATGGAACCAGCACCATTGAGCAAACCAGAAAGGTTTCAGAAGAAGAGGAAGAGAAGATCAAAGCTACTGCGGCCAGACCAGATATTTACGAACTTCTCTCTCGCTCTCTCGCTCCTAGTATCTTTGAGATGGATGATGTCAAGAAAGGAATCCTCCTTCAACTATTTGGTGGAACCAACAAGTCTTTTGAAAAAGGAGGAAGCCCCAAGTACAGAGGAGACATTAACATCCTGCTCTGTGGTGATCCCTCCACATCGAAGTCGCAATTGCTTCAGTACGTCCACAAGATCGCACCTCGGGGCGTTTATACGAGTGGTAAAGGTTCTTCTGCTGTTGGTCTAACAGCATATGTTACTCGAGACCCCGAAACTCGACAGCTTGTGCTTGAATCGGGTGCTCTTGTATTATCGGATGGTGGTGTATGTTGTATTGATGAATTTGATAAGATGTCAGACGCTACTAGATCCGTATTACACGAAGTCATGGAACAACAAACTGTCTCCATCGCTAAAGCTGGTATCATCACGACCTTGAATGCACGAACTAGCATTCTCGCCTCAGCAAATCCTATTGGCAGCAAGTACAATCCAAATCTGCCAGTCCCTCAAAACATTGATCTTCCACCCACGCTGTTGTCTAGATTCGATTTGGTTTATCTCATTTTGGATCGAATAGATGAGACAAATGACAGACGTCTCGCAAGACATTTGTTGAGTATGTACTTGGATGACAAGCCACAAAGCGCTGCTCAAGGACAAGAAATTCTTGTAAGTTCCTCGTTAGCCCAATTTTTATCATTCCACTAACCAAAGGCACAGCCAATTGAATTCCTCACTTCATACATTTCCTACGCCCGCACAACCTGCCAACCACGAATCAGCGCTGAAGCATCCGCCGAACTTGTGTCGGCCTATGTCGAGATGCGCAAACTCGGTGAAGACGTTCGTGCCGCCGAACGTCGAATCACGGCCACTACCAGACAATTGGAATCCATGATCCGACTCGCCGAAGCACACGCTAAAATGCGACTCTCTGAAACCGTCACCAAAGAAGACGTCCAAGAAGCAGTTCGTCTCATCAAGAGCGCTCTTAAGCAGGCAGCTACGGATGCACGAACTGGTCTCATTGATATGAGTTTGTTGACTGAAGGCACTAGTGCTAGTGAGAGACGTCGAAAGGCGGATTTGAAGACTGCTGTTTTGTCGCTCTTGGATGAGATGACGAGACAGGGACAGGCGGCTAGGTATTCGGAGGTTGTGAGGCGCTTGGGGGAGCAGAGTAGTGTGAGTATTGAGGCCAATGAGTTTGCGGAGGCGATTCGAGGGTTGGAGCAGGAGGGGAGTGTTATGGTTGTTGGGGAGGGGGCGAGGAAGAGTATTAGACGGGTTACTGGGTTGGCTTAGGATTGACTGGTGATCTTGGGTTGGGTTGTGGATGGTGATTGATGCTGATACCCTGATATTGAGGGCGTTTCGTGTGTAGGTTTCTTCTTGCACGTTTGTGTATTGGGTTGGGAAGAGAAGATGGATATGGATGATGGTCAATGAATGATTGATAGATAAATGTACTGAATGATATGATTATGAATTGATGGATTGTTTCGTTTGTATTATCCCATGACCGTTGTCCTGCCATCCCCTCTTTTGGTAAGCTGACACGTATTCTATGTTTTGATTCTCTTATCTTCATCCTCCTAGGTGATATAATATCTAACTCTTAATAAACTAACATATGTAACACTCGTAGCGTCTCGATAGTAATAAGCCTGTTTCTTCTTGATTTTTATACGATTAATTACACTTCTAAATTATCATATAACTCATTGAGACGATGAATTCCTGTATGTTTTGTTACAGTATATCCAATAGCTCTTTTATCTGATATGATTAATCCAGGACACTAGAATAATAAAATTCCAATTTATTAAATGCGTCTAAATAATTGACTCTGTACTCATCACTATATATTGCTCACTTATATACTCAAGAAAAGAAAAACATTCTTCATTCCAAGCCTCATCCATAGCCATTCAATCCAAATCCAGCCCCCTTCTCTTCAAGACTTACATATCTACTCAAGTCTTCTACAATCGCATAAATTATTTCAACTCCTCACTTCTCACCACGCCTCTACTCTAATGATAAATCTCATCCTTCCATCCCTCCACCTCTCCATCCCAGCAGAGCAAGAAAAGAAGAAAATCCCCACAAAATCCTCAAATGGCAGTGTAGCATGCTGTGCCACTCAAAGTCACGGTACGTACTCTATTTCCCAGTCCGGGCCAATAAGACCTTTTCGTTCCACCCACCCGCTTTCGATAATGGTGGGCTGGCTTTCGTCGGGAACCAATGGATGTCATGTGACTTTCTGCAGCCGTGTCTTGCATTTACCCCTGACCATGCTTGCTGTTGTTGGTTGATTTAGACGACTGAGAGGTGGGAGGCATATTTGCATCTGGTTTGTCTATGAGGGGATTGGTGAAATAGTGCTAGATTGATGGGGTGATGATGCTGAGATTTTTTTTTGGGTAGTGAATGTCATACTGAGTATCAATGAACTGAAGAGTAGAAAAAATAGAGGAGGCGAGCACAAGAAAGAGGACAAGAGTATCGCGCGCGCATAGACTTCATATTCATTAAGAGACGCCACCAACTAACATTTCCCGAACTACCACAACAACAACCTGACCACCCATCAATCCACCAAGTAATCGAGGTCATCACCAAGGAAAACTATCAAAAGAACGAATGAAATCCACCAAAACAATCGACGGATACATAAACGAGAGTCTCGCCCATTCCAAACCCCCCTGTCCTCCATCCCCTTTTTAGTCCCACCTCAACGACCGTCCAACCATGATCCTCCACTCATTTCACCACAAGGTTTGCGAAAGAAAAGAGGAAAGATCAATCTAACCCTCCAAAAGGGAGATTGGAATGTTGATGTTGGTTCCAGAGGCGATATCGATGCAAGTCAAAGCACTGAGGGTCGCAAGAGAAGTCTTGCAGCAGTAGTTGGCAGCACCTTGAACGGGAGCTATTTAGAAGTTAGTCTCGTAATCTACAGCAAGGATTCTCATACTATGGAGGGGAAACGGGTAACTTACGAGTTCCGGTTCTCTTCTTGAGACCGTCCAAAGCGGAGATTGGGACAGCGACTTGCAAGCCAGTCAAGACGTTGACACAGTTCAAGACTGCGGCAAGAGCTGGGCGGGAGCAAGTGAAGAGGCAGTCCTCAGGGAAGGCAGTTGGAACTGGGGTGGTTCCCGTTGGGGTTGGGACCTTGGTTGGTTCTGGGACCTTTGTTGGCTCTGGGGCTTTGGTTGGCTCTGTTGGAGCAGCGATGGTGTTAACAGCGAAAGCTGCAACGAGGAGTGTGAGAACTGAAGCGCGCATATTGAATGATGGTTTGGAAGTTGGGAAGCTTGGTAAAGTGAAGTGAAGGTAGGTAGCTGTTTTGGAAGCTGTGAGAATGTTGTGATGATGTCTTTGGATGATGAGCTTTAATCTGGACTTGGGCTGGATACTTATACAAGTTCCTCGTCTTCGAATTCTCCAAATATCTTCAGCTCAGAACTTTTCCAGCCATTCTCTGTCACGTCCGGTCTTGGTAGGCATGAGGATGCTATTGGAATTGTTTCGTTCGATTCATAGCATCTATTGATTTCTCGCGTTCCAAGCCGGATGAAGAAGGCGCTTAGATTGAGTACTACTCTGGAGAAGCCAGTGATGACACGGCTCTTCATAAAATTTGTATTCTTGCCATGATTTTTTTTGCAGAGGGTGTCATCGAAAGCAGCACCTGAGGGAGGCGAAGCCTTGCAAGACTTCGAGAATAGAAATCTGAAATTTGGAAAAGGGTTTTCTGGCCAACAGACAGGTTTTCTTGGGAATCTAGGCAGCTCAAAAAGCCCATACATGATGCAGTTGCGTAGTATTCTTCAAGTGAGATTCCAAGTGACCGAGTTTTGGGTAGTCGAGGCAGAGAATCGAGAAAGGCCGAGACTATCCAGAGAATCTAGAATTGTCCAAAAGTCTCTCGGCTAAAGAAATGGTAAGGCAACACTACGTGATCCCAAACAAACGATCATCATAGTGCAGAAGCCAAACTGCAAATCCTAGCATTTGCCTCCTATGGGAATCAATTAGAACGCCTCCAGAAGTAAGATGACGATCGTTGCCGGCTCGGGATACCAGTCTAACGGAACAGAAACGGCAATGGTAGGTTATGTCCACACTCGGTGCTTCCCCGCCATATGGTTAGGGGCGTGAGCAAGCATGGCATTTATAAAAGCCCCCGCTCAAATTTTGGCTGAACATGTATAGTACATGCAAACGACCTGCACTTTACACCGGTCTTGGTTTCTTGGCGATATGTATGTCATTCATGATCGCCTTTCTCTAGCCAGTGGGAGATATTTACCAACTTTGGGATAATTAATTTCAGATTATATAGGGATGATGTTCACCGCATGTTGTATAAGTGACATTGGGTAATTCCCAGAATTCCGTGGACTTTCTCCGCGGCTGTATCAACTCTGTATTCAGTCGATAATAGTCTTTCTTTTTGAAACCAAACAGGTATGTACAGTACCTTGGTATACTCTGATGTTCCGATATGAAAATAGGCAACCATCTGTGCCCCAATGAATTAGGGCAGGAACAAAATCGGCAGAGGCGATGGTGGAGTAGCTGTGGAAGACACTGCCCGACATCACCGCTTTCTGGCTTGCATATAGGTCAAAACCTTGAGAAGTCATCCTCAAAAGTGTTTTTATCTCATTTACTTGGCAGTCTATTTAAGGTGTGACAACTGAATTGGGCTCGTATGTAGCTTACAGAAAATGGAACTGGTTGGTTCGCGATCAACTCAGCATGTTGCATTGGGGAGAAATCTGCAAGTTTGCGGCCGTATGTGGATCACGTTGAATAGTGGCTTTGCTCCATGTAAGCAGAGACTGGTTGTTGAAGCTTTGCCACATGGCTATATTTTATCCATTGAAACTAATTGTGGAAGAAAGTGCCATAATTCAACGGTATCCGAGTTGTTAGAAGATGAATGACAGCGGGATTTGCAAAATTTCCGACTTCATCATCTCCAGATAAATGTTCATCCCTCCTGGATACCACAAAAAGAGAGGATAGGAGACAGATCTAAGTTTCCGCCCATCATCTCAAGTCTGAACCAGTCGTATGATAAGGGATGACAGTCATTCCCCCAAGGAGCGTATGCTTGGTGAGGTGCCATTACCAACACTTCATCCCAAGAAGTCCACGGGCCGTTACATAACAGAAGTATGCACTTGGTGAAATACCTAGTGGCAAAGCTCGTGAGGCTTGAGGATTTGAAATATTGACAGACGTACAATGACGAAATTCAACGGGAGAAGGAGGCTTTTTAGACCCCTAAGTTTGACAACGTGGAAAGAAAAGAAAGAAAAGTATCCGGTTCCACCCAAAACGACTCACGATATTCGATCAGCCATAATTAAAGACTTTCGATTTGAAAGACGGCTAGTGAGCCCCAGAAAATTCAGCTTGCCAAGGTTCTTTTCATTTTTTGCAATATTTGAGATCTTCATCATTTAGACAAGTGGAGGTTGTCCCTCGACGATGGCCCCGCCTCGTCCAAGTGATACCTCTGGATCCTAAATTTATCGGAGACGGCACTCAAAGCCCCGGTAGTGTAACCTTGAAAACAAGAGCCTGGCTGTCAAGATTGAAACCGTATGGATCAGAGTATGGTTGCAGCCCTCCATGCATAAAGCCACTCTGTGTGATGAAGTCATTGTCGCTGACGCTGAAAATGAACCACTCATTATCTTCTCCAGCTGCGCCATCAACGGGAACCATTGCAATGCTCTCCCACTTCTCGTTGAGAAGTCTGGAATCTTGATTTCCGCCATTATGAACGCCAAAACGATTAAGTTCAGAGTTGAGATTGAAATCGATGAAAGGGCAGTATTCTGCTGGTGTGATCTTTTTTTCCAACTTGCCCTTAGAGCTCGCAATATTGCAAGTGGTGCAGTCATAGGTTTTACCTTTGATATCCGTTGCCAATTCCACGTTGAAAATGTCTATATGACGATAAACGGAAGTGGAATCATCCTGACCATGACCTGCCCCAGAGTCCCGTGAAAGGATAAAGAAGTCTCCACCTTGGATATTGAATATTTCAGACTGCCCGGCAACTTCTGACTCTTCATCTGTTGTGAACGGAAGTGGAACAACAAACTCGTTGGCGTAAATTGGATTTGATTGATCAGTAATATCATACTTCACAAGTCGAGGGTAACGGCGGTTTGACTTTTTGAGACCCCCTTCCTGGTTTGCAGCAGATTGCAGAAGTACGTAGAGAGATCTCCCGTCTTCAGAAATTCCCATACCCTCAAAGCCCTTATTGTTGTTGCGGCCTGTTGGATTATCATCTGCGCTGGCCGAAAACGACTCTTCGTCGTCTCGCATGGGTATTACTAGATTAATTTAGTTTACGCCTCAAGAACTCCATGATTTTGGCACGTACTGGCATCATTGGGCCTTATGGCATTCAACATTTTTCCAGTGGCATCGAACCTATACACATAGGGCCCATACTCGTCGGACACATAGAATCCACCCCCGGGAGCCAGCACGAGGCCTTCTGCGTCGATTGAAATGGCCTTTCCGCCAGGCCCAGAACCTCCCCAGCCGTCGCCTTTGAATGTTGCAGCAGGTAAATCTGGGAATCCAGGATAGGTGATATGGCCACTGACATCTGCATCTAAACCGGTCGTTGGAGTAATACCGTCGGGGGCAAAAAGAAGAGTAGAATCTTGATACGTAATGAAAAGGTTATTACCCGAAGGATTATTGGATGTTGCGCTTGGGGAAGGTGTGAAGACTATTCCAAATTTGTGGACCCTAGCTTGGAAGTTCACTGTGCCTTGCGTATTCCTGAAATAAATTAGGAAAGATCTCGTCTGAATGGAGAAACTCCAGAGTAATAAATTCCATGTCTTGAGTATTAACTTGAGTATTAAAGACCAAGGATTGAATTCAATAGAGAGAGAGAAAAGGTTCGGCTTACCATCCCCGATCAGGCAAAGCATACATGGTGCCTGTGTAAGTGCCATTGGAGAGCTTCTTCCATTGAGCTCGATCAAAGGCAATGGCTGAACCAAAGCCTCCCAGCGTATCACCAAACTTGTCTCGTGAATTTGACGGCACTAACCCAAAACCAGCCAGAGAATCGTAGGTATAATTCTTCCCACCACAGAGGGTTTTGCTCACATGGGTGGTGGATTGTGCTACAACAATAGCAGCGAAAGAGGTGGGAAAAATAACTCTGGAAAACAACATGATGGGAAACGAACAAGTTTTGGAAGGTTGTCTGATTGAGTTGAAGATTTAACTTTGCAATCAAGGTTCCAAGTTTGTCATATACTCGAGTGCTTCTCTCACAACGGAGATACTCGGCGACTCAGAAATCCTTTCGAGCTCTTTTTTCTCGCGAAGGGGAGCGTAGACGGCGGTGGCGATGCTTTCAACAGCATCGATTCGTAGCTGGACGATTCTCTGCGTTCAGCCGTGATGAGAAACCCGGATGGCTAGTACCACGAGGGAAGAGCTCACATCCAATCGTCTCTGCATCTGCACAAAACCAATAAAATGCGTGATCACTCCTTCCTAATTTTCTTGAAGATCATTTCGGTGGGAACCGGCATCATGCAACCGAGCTCTGTCCCGTAGGAGTATCCGGAGTGATATTGGACGTTACCTACAACATATTTAAGGGAAACGTGATTGGTCGTAAGTGGCCATCATTGTTAGAGCTTGATCAATGCGAAAAGTTCTATGCGATTGATTCCGCGTCGGATATAACAAAGAAATAAAGAGATTTCTACAACTGTGAAGATCTCCAACCAGATTTTCCTCAGTGTGTATCACGTGATATGAAAATGAGCGGTAATGAAGGTTTTTGAGGCTCAGGATTCTTGAAACCCCATATGTATCAAAATGTTGAAATCCACAAGAACCACCTTCTCCACCTTCCAGAATCTCACCCGGTTCATCTGATTCAGTGATTCCGCGCAATAACCGCCATGCACGTACATTTTGAGATGGCCAGGTTTTGATCACCAAGAGTTCACGGCGCAAACAAACTTATACAAAACACCCTTTCATTACCCACCCTGATTTGCATATAAGATGTAATGTACGCGCCTTGAAAATGGCCAACCTGGTGGAATTTCCGTTCTTATTCCTATAGCCATACTCCAATCTTCATTTTCTTGCTCTGGTTTAGCCCTCTTCTTTCTTTTTTTTTCTTCAAAAACAAATATATTCATTCTTTAACTAACAGTCATTATGCTTTTTAAATCACTTGTTGTCCTTGGAGGAGCAGCTTTGGCAGCAGCCAAAGTGCAATTTATGGTCAATTTTCTCCTGAATTAACCCATTTGCTAAATTCTAACAATTTTCCAGGGAATGAATATTGCAGGCTTCGAATTTGGATGTTTAATCGATGGAACCTGTCCAACTGGATCGGTCGTTCCACCCGATGAAGGTGCCGCGCAAATGCAACATTTCGTGAAGGACGATCAATTGAACATTTTCCGACTTCGTAGGTCTGACCTGATTGCGCATTTCAACCATTATTAACCAGGGAATAGCTGTATCATGGCAATTTTTGGTCAATAATCAACTCGGAGGAACCCTCGATTCAAACAACTTTGGAGAATACGATAAACTTATGCAAGATTGCCTTGCCACAGGCTCATACTGTGCTATAGATATACACAACTTTGCACGATGGAATGGAAAGATAATTGGACAAGCTGGTGGACCAACTGATGATCAATTTGCCGACCTTTGGAAACAATTGGCAACGAAATACAATTCCAACACCAAGGTTATCTTTGGGTTGATGAACGAGCCACACAATGTCGATATGACTGCTTGGGCAGCGTCTTGTCAAGCCGCAGTCACCGCTATTCGTAATGCAGGCGCAACTTCTCAAATGATCCTCTTGCCCGGAAACAACTTTACATCTGCTGCGACTTTCGTTAGTGGGGGTAGTGGTGACGCTTTGCTCACAGTCAAGAACCCAGATGGAACCACGACTGGTTTATTGATGGACATTCATAAATATCTCGATTTCGATAATTCTGGAAATCATCAAGATTGTACCACCGACAACAAAGAGGCCTTTGCAAGTGTTGCTCAATTCTTGAGAGAAAATGGTCGACAAGCTATGGTCAGCGAGACAGGCGCAGGGAGCACCGATTCTGTACGTATATCCTATGGCTATTGTGCTATACTAACCTCTTTGAAAGTGTCAAACAGCTTTCTGTGCCCAAAATGCATTCATTAATCAAAATTCGGATGTGTTTATGGGTATCATTGCCTGGGCAGCCGGTAGCTTTGCCACTTCATACACCCTAAGCTTGACGCCAAAGAAGCAAAACGGAAAATTTGTTAATGACAAACTTGCAGCCGAATGCGTGGTAGCGGTCTGGGTTAATGCTCCAGCCGTTACCACGCCAGCTCCAATCATTCCTGTAGCACCCGTCGTAGCTCCTGTTCCAGCACCTAATACTGCACCACCCCTAGGACCTACTTTGGCACCGCCAGCGATAGCAACACCCATTGCCGCACCCGTAAATTCTCCTGCCTCAAACCCACCACCCGCGGTAGTAAAACCATCAGGAACCCCTCCCGTTAAGCCTGGGAATGGATCTCCAATCGTAGCCACTCCGCCATCAGAAGAACCAACTCTCATGCCAGTCAGCCGTATCCAACCTACGGTGCATCCGTCTTTTACTTCGTCTGTCGCTCCTTTGAGTACCGGCTCGCTTTCGTCTCCACCGACGAGCAATGCTTCCAGCCCGACTTCTGGAAATAGCACCCCATCTGCGACGCAAAATTCAAATGGATTGTTGTCAAGTGTGTTTAGTAGTAGCCTATTTATTGGTATGAGTGGTTTTTTGGGTGTTTTGTTAGTATGATAGATAATGTTTTGTCTTATATATGAGTTTGAAGAGTTGCTTGATGCATTTATATACCCCTTTACTATTACGTAAACTATTAACTTCAAGATTTTTTTACGCTTCTAGTCTTTTTTGTACGCTTCCGTGAGGTATTTTTGATGTCATCTCATTGTGCTTCTTGAAGACCGTCTTACATGCTTCCCTTCTTCACTATTTCTACGTGTGACGCTAGTCTGTGCTAAGTACAGTAGGGTTCGGCCATGAATTAGGCGTATAGATTTCAAAGTTCGGCGTTCGTCTCATGTATATTTTTCCTAAACGTTTGTTTTATATATCTTGAGTAAGTGTTTCGTGAACTTACTCATGAACTTTCATATATTTTTCCGGAAGCGGAAATATTCGTTTCCGGACCCATAATCCTTGGCGACTTTTGATTCTCACCTATAGGTACCTATCTAGGTAACCTGGGTACGTCACGTTTTACTCACGTGTCTACACATGAATTATATAAATCCTTCATGGAATTTTACTCATTTTGAGCGTTCGTTTTATATAATTCAATAATTCTTATAAGATTTCCCTTTCGGTTCATATAATGATATATTCGGGAATTCACGGCGTTCGCTATTCATTGCCGCCTTGTCTGGCTTTCAAAGTGAATTAGATTCTTGGGTTCATCATGATCTCGATGGAATCTACGACAGTTTATTTAACAGCCAGGCTATTGATGCCTTGACATTGAGGTACTGCCACGAAGAGACATCTGGATGTGCGAGCAAAGATAACGATATTTGGTCTCAATTGAGGCGAGTCAAATAGCTTACTGCTTTGTCTGCTCAGTAATTTCGTGTTTTTCTCTTCTATGACACACAAAATGTTTCTTTCTCTTTTCTTCTTTTTGTTCCGTCGGAACTACTGAGACGATATTTGTGCGTGTTCATAACCCGAAATATACAGACTCAGGTCGCTTCCTTCCTTCAAGGGGGTTGAGAACCCGATAGCCCCCTTGCTTAGGGTCGCTTAGCATTTTTTTCCGCAAGTGCGAATTTCACTTGACAGCCAACGATCAATAGGAAGCAGAGTCTATACCATATAACGATCAAAACACGATTCTCAAAAAGAATTTTTAGATTACATTTTCAAAAGATTAACTCCCCAAACTCCCTTCCTTTCTATGTCGGCTGAACACCTTCAAGCTTTCATCAGTTTGGAACCAAGAAAAGCTACTATTCAAATATATAAAACAAATCTCTCCCGCGGCATAACGAATATTTCCGCCTCTGCTTTTTCAGCTTCTGTAACCTCTTCGTCCTATACCTAATCATCGCCTCCCTGGTCATCACCTCCCTGATCATTTCCTCCCTCATCACCGCCTTCTTCCGAAGTAGGCTCATCTCGATAAGTCGCCCCAATCATCCGATCAAGCTCACTATCGAATTGAGAATCAGATCCACCATCACTATCAGCATTGTCATCGGGAACCAGAGGTTGCCAGTCATTCGGTCTATGGTGATGACAATACCGTTTTCGAGGCATTCGCTTTCTCAGCTTACAACGTCTTTTGAAGTTGGTTTTCTTCGTCTTTCCTTCACATCTTTCTACACCGCCGTTCGCCATATTTCCTGCCCCTCTTCCTCGCGCACCACCTCTTCCTCTCGCGCCGCCTCTTCCCCGCCCGCCTCCTCGTCCAGTACCTTGTCCGCCTCTTCCTCCAGCACCACCAGCACCATCATCGCTGCTACTGCTGCTACTGTCGTCATCACCGCCCCCAGGAGCACCACCAGCAGCAATCCGGCTTGATCTTCTAGTACCCGCCGTTGCCCTAGTCTTTGTCGCAGGGGTTTTCTTACCACCCCTAGTTTTGATCGGAGTGGGTTCTTTTATCGTAACGGTCTTCTTCCCACCCGTAGCTTTTGTGGTAACGGTCTTCTTACCACCGGTAGTTTTTGTCGGAACGGTTTTCTTACCACCTCTAGTAGTAGTAGTCTTAGTCTTAAGCCCTGTGCTCTCCTCCCTATCACTAGCAACAGGATCATCACCATCATCACCAGGCGTAGCAACCACAATGTCTTCGAGTCCCTCGCTTTCTGACTCATCATCTGAATCGGGAGGTCGGACCGTGGTTCGGAGTTCGCTATCATCTGAATCGGGGGGTATGACCGCGGCTCTTGGTTCGCTATCTGATTGATCATCGGGGCCAGGCTGAGCAACCATTTCGACATCCTCGCTTTCTGGAGATGGAGATCTGACCGTGGTTCGGGGTTCAGTATCTGGCTCGTCATCCCCTTGATCAACTGCTGTAGTCTCGACTTCGCTTTCAGGCTCGTCATCAGGCCGATCGACCATTGTAGTATCAACATCCTCAGGAACCGTGTCCTGTCTTACTTTCCCACCCTTCGCGGGATCCCGTTGAGAGTCAGAATCCGGCTCCGATTCCTCCTCTCTCGTATTAGTGTCCTCCCTGAAGGGATTATCCTCATCCTGTGACGGTCCTGGTGGTGCCTATTTCATCAATTAGTCACGACGACACAGATGAGATATATATAGATGGGACTTACTTTGGGAGAAGGTGTTTTGGCTCTTCCTTTCCCTTTTACACTCCTTGTAGAGGTGCTCTTCTTGCTGGCGGAGGACTTCTCTCCCAAGGAACACTTCCTTCTTGTTCGCGCTGAAACGCTCTTCGGCTGCACCGTTTCTGAAGTCTTAGTAGACTCCCCTCTCGAGCTCTTCCTTGGGGACACCCTCGTAGTATCAACAGAGGGACCATCAGGCCGAACATCTTCGGTTGCCTCTTTCTCAGGCGAGACCGGCGTCGTAGTAGAAATAGATTTCCTCCCAGTCGGAAGCGCTTTCGTCCCTCTATTCCCCAGCAATCCCGCAAGCCTCCCTTTCTTAGCGGGCTTCTTCTGCCCTTCATCACCGGTATCCGGCGTATCACCCTCACGTTTCGACATGTTTACTCCAGTTGTTATGTATCTGACAATTTCCGTTAGAGAAAAAAGAATTGGAAAACGAGGGAATCTTTCTTGTGTGCTTGTAAGGAAAAGACCCTGTCAGACTCGTAAATCATCGCGGGGAGAACAACTTAATAGTTTGCGGGAAAACGGGTTCGCTTCTTTGTTCTTTGTCGTGAGGTTGAACATAGGGGCGCCGCATGCGGCTATAACAAATCTTTTGTCGTCAAAGAGTGGTGAAAATCTAACAATTTGAGGATCGGGTCCTCGGTTTCTTTGTTAGTGCAAGTAATAGTTGATCGTGATTGTGGCTAAGCCGCTGGGTTCCTTGCCTTTGAAGTAGATAAATCGTTGTAAAAGTCCCGAAATTTTGAAGGTCTCTTCAGGGCTCTCTTTATTACCCAGCCATCATGGGCACTCTCCCAACCCATTGAAACCAGCATAGTAGTGTTCTTTGAATAAGCGGGCTAGGCGTAAATAGTAGTCATAGGAACCATATTTGTTGCTTACTTGATGAAAAGCTTCAACATAATTCCAGTTCAGTCCTACCATATTGTGATTCGGCAATCAATCCGTATAACCTCTGGATTCAATACTGGTCCGAGAAATGAGAGTCCAGAGTAGGTTGCCAAGTACTATAGTAGATATTAAAGCACATAAGAACTATTTACGATTACTTTTCTTACATGGTTATGACCTTACTTGATTCACCTAATTACAATACACATCTAAGGTGGTCAACTTAGAAGAAATGTATTATCAGTTACACCAACATAAACTTGGATTACATAACAGATGTAACGTGAGAGGGAGCAAACAAACGGCACCACAAACGAAAGTCCATCCAGAATCCACAATCCACCTCAAATTTCGGAATTCAATTCATACAATATTTCGACTTGAATTCCATTTAGCCCCACAATGGCACCACCATATCTCAGCAAGTGTAAGAACTGTGGGCGCGATGCAACAATGAAATGCGCTGGGTGTACAGAAGCTCCAGCCTACTCGCCTGGAGACTCCATCGACAGCATATACTGTAGTCGCGAATGCCAAAAGAGTGACTGGTTGCCGCACAAAGCTCATTGCCACGCATTAGGAAAACGAAAAAAGCTTTTTCGAACTGCCCAACTACTCAAGACCGCCTTCTTGACCTACCGAGAGGTCGGGTACGATCTTCACCTCACAAAAATTGAGTTAAAAAATGGGGTACTTTGTCTTCACCAGAAATTGAGAGCCTCTACAGCAAGGGCAGAGCGAGCTCTCTTTCCAACCCATCTCACCACCAACCCTGAACACAAGGAAGCTGCTCTTGCGAAGAATTCATGTACAACGGCCACGGCACTCTTGAGTTCTCTTACGAGGAACTTGCTTGAAGGTAAGAAGGCTCCCAAGAACCAGGATCGACGAAGCTAAAGCTTGATTTTCTGTCATAGGGGTGACCTCAACTATCGAAGTGTTAGACTTGCAAATCGGAAAACCTTTGATTCCAACAAGGCTCGTTCCGGGAGATGGCCCAGACTGCACCATCTGCCCACACACAATCTTGAAAGTCCGGCCGCGGGGCTCCAGCGAAACGTGGATTATCGATACAGCAGGCTGTCAATATGGGTTTAGGGATGTTCTGATTCCCTATGAAAAATATTTGACGGAGAGATCTTGTAAGATATCGGGCAAAGATCCCGAACCTTATGATTGGACCGTGACGAAAGACTTGGATTTCTTTGATACTATCCCTTTCATGAATACTACGCATGCGCAGAAAGTGGATAGGGGGCTGGAGCGAGAAGCTCGCTTGCACTTTGCTATCTTCGTTAACACGCACGTTACGAAGGATATACTCAATGGATCGGCGGCAGAGTTTGCGAGGAAACTTGAGGGCTTTGTACAGGGTTTGGAGGTTCATATGAAAAGCTTTTCTAGCTGAGATGGAATGAATCTTTAGTCAGGAGATTCCACAACTTTACTTATCCAGCAAAAACTAACCATTTTCACATTTGAGGTTTCTTGTTACTTCTAATAGCTCCCGATTATCGTTAACCTATCCTGAGATACCCTAAACACCCATTCCCCAACCAATCTCCCACATTTTTCTCATCGACTTATTGTGAACTATGGATTTCTCTCACATTGGGGTGCGTAGGGGTGGTGTGTAGGGGTGGTGTGATCTCAAAGATAGGAGAACTTACTGACCGAGATTCTTTTCTCGGTTAACAGTTCTGCTGGAAGAAGGGAGATAAATTTTCCCCATCCCAGCGACTTTTTCCATCTGCATAACAGGATTCGTGAATATAGGACAGACTCTTATCTACAAGATCCTAGAACAAGAGACCCACTTTACTATCCACTTTCTCCGTGGAGTATTCATAAAGTACACACAATACTCTCTCTGCGTTTCCATCTTCTCAGACTCTGCGGCGGAGTTGTGAATCGCTCAGATGCGATTTGGGTCACGTTTGTCTCCTATCCGCGGATAATTTGGTTACTCCGAAATCGTGCCGCCTCGTTAAGCGCGGCTAACCTGGATTTACCGGTGTCATTCCGGCTCGTTCCGGAAATTATCCGCGGAACGACGTCGGATTTTTCCCTCGGATCCGGAATAACCTTTTCCGATACGCCGCCATTATTACATTAGTTCTGCAGACATGAAATAAAACCTTGATATTTCGTCGAGTTATAACTTGTGACTTTTGAGGGGATTGATGAGGGCTTTGATGATTCTTACAGTATCATAGAGGAGAAATCTTTCAACCAGTTCCATTATGGCGATTATCTTTAGTTCTTGGGAATGAGCATTGTGGCTGGTGAGACTCAGTCGTGAGAAATTGAGAATGAAGTTTGTTAAGCTATGAAATTGCCTTTGAGGATGTGTTTTCGGTCTGTAATAGATGGGGGATACAATGGAGTTGTGGTTTAGTGATTGTCAAAATCTCGGGGTCGATGGTCAACGGAGCTATACCGACACAATTGTTGTAAACTATAGATTCGCTTATGATACTTCCTTCCGGGATGTCATGGGACATAATGTTTGAAGCCTCATTGTAGGCGCTTATTTCGAGATTGCAAACGTTGGAGAATTCCGGACCTACCAGATTTCTCGATACCAGGTCGTCGCAGCCCATAAGCATTTCTAGGACACTGCAAAAACACTTCCAAGACGCGACAGCAGTCAACTTATGCTGTACCATCTCATACAACAAAATACTAAGGGCCTTATCCAAAAAACTGACAATGACCTTCTTGTGACCAGGAACTCGATCGGGTCTGTACGTGTACCGGTCACTAACAACCTAGGAACGAAACAACGGATTGGTGTGGCATAAATTAGGGTAATCATTTTAGAAAAACCTGATATCGAATATATTGATCATTAAATCTTATGCCGAGAGTTCCTCTTCTTTGTCCAAAACCGAAGTTCTGGGGAGAGATACACGGGCGCATTCCTCGCTTATGTGCTTCACTATTGTTGAATGTGGGAGGATATATATAAGAGTATACGAGTATGTGGATGAAGACGTTGAGGATATTTGCTATCTCGTGCTGTCCTTCGATTGCGAAGTTTGCCGTAGTTCTTTTCTAGGAAGTCCATGATATCTTTTTGGTTGATCAAATTCCATACCATAAGATTGCAATTACTGTACAATATCGGGTCCATTCTCATGCTCATTCTCGGGATTCTCTGCTTGCGTATGACGTTCCCTATGTCCTAACTCAATAGTATTAACAGCCGTGTCCTCATTGTATTCAAACCCCAAACACTCCATCTTCCTTCCGCATCCCAAAACCTCAACATCTTCACAGCATCATTGATATCCCCATTACCTCCCTAATACCTATGTAAAGCCCGTCGCTCAACAGATTCCAAAGCTCGATATTCCAGAAAGTCTATGAGGCGCTTTCTCATTACAAAGCCTGTCAATGGGCATCGTATCGTTCTCTTCCCGTAATTTCTCTACAAAGTTTGGCATTTTGAAAGCCTCTAATAGTCCCTCTATGTGTGACGAAAGAACCAGTGACGTTGAAGAGACGAGCTCCTTGGTGAAATCTAGTTTTGGCTAGATTGCTCTGAGTTTTTTTGGTGTACCTGCAACTTTTGTTGGGGATCATGGTGCTCTTCTTTTGTATGTGTGGAAAGGAGTTGGGGGGGACCAGAATCCATTGTTGTGGTTGGAGTGTTTTTTGTTTTTCTTTGGTTTAGCCTTTTAATCAATGGTATGCTGGGTATTGTTGAGTCTGGTTGCAGTTTACACAACTTGTGGGAGAGGGACTGCATTGTGTGAAGTTAATGAATAGAATAATAACCTATTGGGTCGAAAGGGTATTGGGTACTGAAGGTCATGGAGAGTTGAGTTTATTGTAAAGGGTAGCTATCTAAGGTGTTTATATAAAGAGTGTAAGGTTTAGGCAGACATGAAGCATTTAGGCAGCAGAACTATAAGTGGATCAAATAAGGAAGTGGAGCAAAAGAGAAAGTAGACCCAGCACAACACCCCCCCCCCAGGAGACAGCGTCTTATTGAAAGCTGTGACCTGATCCAAGTATCAAATGGCTAATATCTGTAAGATGTAGTTGTTGTACGAATAGAACATGCTTTTGAGGTGATAACTCCTTCGTAAAGCCGTCGGCTACCATACTAGTAGTAGGGACCCAGTTTATATTAACGCGCTTCTCCTGTACTTCTTGCCTAAGCCAGCTCTGGATAATGTCGATATGCTTAAGTTTAGTATCAAGCTTTGGAGTATCTCTTTGTAAGAGACGAATGGTTTGTTGGTTGTCGCAGTAGATGTTTGGATTGTCCTGAATACGTAGCTCAATATAGCTAAACAAGCGTATCCACCACAAGAACTCCTTTGCGGTTGCAATAAGAGCCCCAAACTCTGACTCTGTGCTTGAGGTAGTCACATGTCGTTGTTTTGTTGATTTGTAGTGTATTGGACCTCCGTATAGTTGAAAGCAGTATCCAATAGAGCTTTTCCGGGTTTCGACGTCGTCAGCGAACGCAGCGTCGCTCCAGGAGAGAAAGGAATCCGCGCCT